CCAAAGGGTGAGTCAACTTGGAAGGGCAACATCCTTCTCTAAATTTTACCCCTGCATGGCCACAAAAGGGTGAGCCAAGTTGAAATGGCAACATCCTTCTCTAATTTTTAGCCTCGGGTGGCTCACTAAAGGGTGAGTCAACTTGGAAGGGCCACATCCTTCTCTAAATTTTGCCCCTGCATGGCCCACAAAAAGTTGAAATGGCAACATCCTTCTCTAATTTTTAACCTCGGGTGGCTCACAAAAGGGTGAGTCAAGTTGAAATGGCAACATCCTTCTCTAAATTTTACCCCTGCGTGCCCACAAAAGGGTGAGTCAACTCGGCATGGCCGCTTCCCTCTCTAAATTTTACCCCTGCATTGGCCACAAAAGGGTGAGTCAAGTTGGAGTGACCACTTCCTTCTCAAAATTTTACCCTGTGCACAAAAGGGTGAGTCAAGTTGAAATGGCAACATCCTTCTCCAAATTTTAGCCTCGGGTGGTGCAACAAAGGGTGAGTCAACTTGCAGCTTTCCTGGCCACTGCAGGCAGCACAGGTCCGTAAGCTGGCCACCTGCAGCAGCACAGTGCTCACAACACTCTGGCCACCTCCAGCAGCACAGCGCTGACGACACTGGCCACTGCAGGCAGCACAGCTCCGTAAGCTGGACATCCAAAGGCCTCGACATCCAGACAGATCTGGAGTGTAGAGGTGTAGAGTCTAGAGACCCACTAAATCTTGCAGAGGTTCAGATCCAGAGGCCAGGGGAACAGAGGACCAAAGGACCCGGGGCCTTACGGTCGCCTCACCTCTTCAAAATTTTACTGGCGTGCTAGAATGGAATGGCTTTCTGCGCTCTAAACTTTACTACTGTACATTCGGGTGGCTCACAGAAGGGCGGCGCCGCATATTTTATCAGCACTTGTGCCTCATCTGCGCACACACTTGTTGACTCAGCGTGCACACACCCCATCGGGGGGAATCAAGTGCGCACACAGGCCCTTTCCCGAATGTTGCTGCGTATTCCAAATTTCACCCCTGCATTGCTCACTTAAAAGTGTAGTCAACTTGGAATGGCCACTTCCTTCTCTATTTTTTCCCTCCAGTGGCTCACCAAGGGGTGAGTCAACTTGGAATGAGCACTTCCTTCTCTAAAATTTACCCCTGCGTTGCCCACAAAAGGGTGAGTCAAGTTGAAATGGCAACATCCTTCTCTAAACTCTACCCTCGGGTGGCTCACCAAAGGGTGAGTCAACTTGGAAGGGCAACATTCTTCTCTAAATTGATCCCCCTGCATGGCCCACAAAAGGGTGAGTCAAGTTGAAGTGGCAACATCTTTCTCTAAATTTTGCCCCTGCATGGCCCACAAAAGGGTGAGTCAACTTGGCATGGCCACTTCCCTCTCTAAATTTTACCCTCCAGTGGCTCACCAAAGGGTGAGTCAACTTGGAATGACCACTTCCTTTTCTAAACTTTACCCTGCCCACAAAAGGGTGAGTCAAGTTGAAAGTTGAAATGGCAACTTCTTTTCACAATTTTACCCTCGGGTGGCTCACCAAAGGGTGAGTCAACTTGGAAGGGCAACATCCCTCTCTAAATTTTACCCCCGCATGGCCCACAAAAGGGTGAGTCAAGTTGAAATGGCAACATCCTTCTCTCAATTTTACCCCTGCGTGGCCCACAAAAGGGTGGGTCAACTCGGCATGGCCGCTTCCCTCTCTAAATTTTACCCCGCATTGGCCACAAAAGGATGAGTCAAGTTGGAGTGACCACTTCCTTCTCATAATTTTACCCTGTGCGCAAAAGGGTGAGTCAAGTTGAAATGGCAACATTCTTCTCCAAATTTTACCCTCGGGTGGCGCAACAAAGGGTGAGTCAACTTGCAGCTTTCCTGGCCACTGCAGGCAGCACAGGTCCGTAAGCTGGCTCGCTGAGTAGCTGGCCAAATGGGGGATAGAACAGGAGTTCAAAAGTGGTCCTTGTTGTTGTGTGTGTTTTTTTGGGAGATGCATCAAAAAATGCATTAACATAGAATACATAGATGCATCAAACAATGCATTAACATAGAATACATGACAACACTTGCCATTGCAGGCAGCACAGCTCCGCAAGCGGGCCACCTACAAAAGCCATCGAAAACCAAAGGCAAAAGCCACCAAAACCCAAGAGCCACCGAAAGCGAACCTTCCTTCCTGCCTTGCTGCCTTTCTTCCTTCCATCCATCCTTCCTTGCTTCCTTGCTTCCTTCCTTCCTTCCTTCCGTCCTGGCTTCGTACCTTCCTTCCTTCCTTCCTTCCTTCCGTCCTTCCTTCCTTCCTTCCTTGCCTTCTTGCCTTTCTTTGTTTCTTTTCTTTATTTTTTTATTGATGCATTTTTATTTTTTTCTTGATGCATTTATATTTTTTTATTGATGCATTTATATTTCTTTTTTGATGCGTCTCCCCGCGCGGAGGGCGATGAGTCTCATCGGGCGAGGGAAACGAGGGATTTCTGGGGTGGGACGCTGAGTTGTGTCACGTGACAAGGGCAATTCTTGGACCGGGAGGTGAGCAAGTGGTACCAAAACACGTCATGTAGGCTTCTGCATGTAGGTTTGCGCATGTTTTGTTGTTGTGTACGTATATGATATTGATTGATATTGTATGTATAGTTTGGAATCTCCCTGTAAAACGTCTCATCATCCGAAAGCTGGAGGAAAACCTAAGGAAACTGATAGGAATGGTGTGAGTGCAGTTTTTTGTTGCTAGGTTCGGAAGGTTTGTGAGGATATCCATATTTGCCATCAAGAATCATAACGTATCAATTAAACATCGGATGTGGCTCAAGAGAAAAAACAAATGGGGACCCAAGTGCTTAGTGTTTGTTCCTTCTTATATATATATATAACATGATTATACAGTATAATTTATGAATTTGATGAGAGAGAGAGATCTATGCTTCCTGTTCTTAGTGGGATTGACCGGTACACCATATTTGAGCTACATCCATGTATAGCCAGAAAGTCAAAACACGAGCACCTCTTTTCCATGTTGATTCATATAACATCAAACTATGTCAGACTATGGTCTGATATTTATTGCTGTGCCATGCTATGCCTGGTCATACATCAAGCTATCATCGACTCGACTCGATCAAGAGCGACATGCTCGTGACGCAGCTCGCGACGTGCCCTACGGCAGGCGACGCACGGTTAAGCGGCCACGGTGGATTGGACAATGAATGAAAGATACGTAATGATTTGCTCAAAGACATGGTGAGCGGTGTTCTATTTGGTGTGTGGCCGCATCAATAATCATGCCATATCCCTTCAAAACAAACAAAACACTGCTCATGTGACTGCCAACTGCGACCGACCACCGGGCTTCCCACCATTGGGGCGACAGCCTATGGCCACACGACAGGAAGCAGAATGCGACAGCAAGAACGCGGACCCAACCAGGTCCCCTACCATTCAACTGCATCAACCTCAAAGATCCTTATGTTTTCTGGCGGTTCAAAGGGACTCCTTTTCGGCATATGTTTGTTCGGTAAAAAAACAGGATGCGGGATGCCGTGTTTTGCGCCCATCTTTTTGGGGGGGCACAACTGGCTCGAAAGTCTGCGCTGTCGTTTGTGTTCCATTGACAGGGCCCTATGTCGCCTAGACGGAACAAACTCATCTGGATCATATCGGGGGAACCCTGGACCTCAAAGGAAAACAACATGGGGTGTTGTCCACACTGGGAACCAAAGAAACCAGCATGCGACCATGACCCCAAACGGAGCCCCCCAAACGACATGCCCATATTGAAACTGTTGCAGACTGGACAGAACCTCACATTTCGCCGGACCTTGCCTACTACTTTGGAACAGTGGATATGTGCGGATATATAATCATGCTTCGCCGAGCCGCCTTCGTTAGGCATATGGTGATTCTCTTCCAACCATGGCGGTTCTTTTCATGAACCTCACCGGCGATGTGCCACTGCTATGCCGAGGACTGTAGCCCGGTGGGAAAAGCCCTGAAAACAATCAAGTCGTGGTGACACTGAGTCTCCCACTCCGGAGGGGCCTGCATGGCCGAGAAACCGGAGACCCAAAACCCCAGAGCCGAGTTCACCAATCGCTGAGAACTCAGCGATTGGTGCCTCCAAACCTCCAAATCGGCAATGAAACGAACCTCCAAACCTGACGGCTTTCGCACACCAAACTAGAGTGTGTTTCCAATTCTCCCCAAAATAGTTCTTGGACATGGAAGTTCGGAACGAGGTCACTACGAGAATGACATCCCGGCCAAATACTCTTCCGCTTCGCGAGAGGTCTGCTGGGGGAGAAAACACACGCAGGCATGCAGGTGCAAAGAAACACCGATTGCTTCTCAATTAGGACATTGTTTAACACTTGAGGTGATGGAGAGAGGTGCATTCACCAAACAATGTCCTCTCCCAATCACCTCGTCCGTGTTTTTATGCTTCGCTGACATGTTTTCCTGGCGGCCATGGCCCAGGCTCTTGATACAAGTGTTGTTCTTGTTTGTTCACAAACACAACGAACTGGAACATGGATTTGGGGATATGTGGGGAGACAACTGAGACAACATCTCCTCTCTTCTCTCTTGTCTCTGCAAGTCTAGAGCTGAAAAATGTCTTCCCATCTCTCGGCAAAGGTCTAAACAGGTCTTTACCGGTTGGAAACAGGTCTTCACCGGTGGCGAAAACATCGACAGCTTCGCTGGAGCGCTCCATGTGAGGACAGCCAGAGGACAGTCAGACAGGACAGGGTCAGCCACCTGGACGATCGATTGGGGAAGACGGGTCCCGGGTCCTGACGATCAACTCGGGGAAGCCAGGAATGACGGGAAACAAAGCAGAAAATAAAACAAAAGCATATAGTACGTCCTCAAATAGATAGAACATGATAGAAACGTATTCTGATCATTACATTCTGATAGAAACGGATCTACTTTTCTATCTATATGTCTATATACCCTAGGGCTCCAAGTACCTGCTCAGAAGGTATTTGGACCCTCTAAACCCACCCCAAACACCTTCTTAGAAGGTACTTGGAGCCCTAGGGACAGTTATATATATATATACATAAGACCAGAAACATATTGTCTTACAACAACATACAGTTCAATCTGTGGGGCCCCACCCCACACGCTAATCCTCTCGGAACGGTAATCTTTTTGCACTCAAAGCGATGCGCGACGCGTCCATCAGGGCTGTTCCAGCAGGCATGGGCAGGTTCCCCGTTGGCAAGACATTGGATTCCCAAAGCAATTAAGTCTTCAAATCGAAACGTTAGGGGGGCGCGTTTTGAGCTAGAAAACACACTGCACACCAGTGTAGTTCTAGGGCGGTAGAAAAAGATGAGGTTCAGCTGTGTTTAGACCGTCGCTAAACAGGACAGTGAGACAGGATGGTTTTGTTTTTGGCAGTAATCAAAATCAGTAAACATAACAACAAAGTCAACAAATATACTTGGTTCAAATGCACCGCCCTCCACCAATATATTTCAAAAAACTCTGCATCAATCAAATCTTCTGAGGAACCAAGAAGCTCAGCCATGTTTTCTCGGAGTCTGACCGTCTTGCCCGGTTACGGTTAGAGGCCTGAGAGGAGGATGGACCTCATGCAAAACCGCATCCTCAAAATATCTTTGACTTTGCCACCTGCATAGTTCCCTAGCTGCAAGCCCAACCTGTTCAGGTGAAGCTGCCGGCTGGTAATTGAAAAGAAGGGAGATGTGTTTCCTTCAGGGGTGATACTGGAGTCACACATAAAGAAACGACGCGATCCAGGGACAATGCCATTAATTGTGTGACACACAATAGGTGGAACTCTTTGGGTGCAAAGCTGGAGCCTTGGATATGGACTATGTAGTTTTCATGTACACTTGTTGTTTGTTGTTTGGCCTTTTTTTCGGGCCACTATTGGGAATGTGCATGTGCACTTTCGACTAAAGGCCCAAGAGAATGAGGCTATGTACCAATGTGGTAAGCAAGGCTCCAAGCTAAAAGGAGTATCCAACCGTGTAGAAATCGATGTAAGTTGGTGCGTCTACAGCGTGTGTGCTTGAATTTATATAAGTCAAAACTAATCTGTCAGAAACTGAAACATCTGAAATGAACTTTAAACATACAAATCTACAGCACATGACGCTGAGAACTGCCTGAGAAATGCTGTCCATACGCTTGGCCTGCTCAAACTGACGTGTGGCTGCTTTCCAGCCAGCACCACATTCTAGCTGGGGGATCCAGCTGCCCGACAAATATGTGCATGTGACATGCGGGTAGCTTTGGGTTGGCAAGGATTCAAAACACAAACGAATCGTGCCAGGAGGAAACATTCGCTCTTTTCATCTCTTTCCGCATCTTCTCACCCACCTGGGCCTCGTCATCTTGAGGACTTCTGTCCGAATGATTTTCTGTAAATCATTGTAAATCTGTAAATCCACTGGCGAGACGTAGGAATCATCCGACTGCAGTCAGGCTGTGTTCCCCATTGTCACGGATGTTGACCAACAAAGCAATACAAAAGACTCCTCTTGAATTAGTAGCGAGTAATCACACTGGAAAAAGTTACTGTCTCCCCTACTCGATTGAATTGTTGAAACCGGTCACGAAATGAGTTGGATCGGTTTGTTGCACTTCGTTTTGCACTTCCAACTCAAATCCAACAGAAGTCTTTGAACATTTCTTTCCGAGACGCCGAGGGGGCGACTCGTCGCCGGCTGACAGTCCGAAGGATTGCTCAGGGCTCAGAGTCCGGAGAGGTGGGTCCTTGGTCGACGGGGCCCGGTCGGTCGGTCGGACCAATGCAGCCGAAAAGGTGAAGCTGAAGTGTCACATGCAAAGCAAAGATCAAGTACAGCAAAGCAAAGACCAACTGGACAGTGTTATCTTGTTGGTAGACTTGTCTAGCTTCAAAAGGCATACGTAGAAGCAGGATATCGCAGGTACGTTTTCGGCACTGAAATCTCACCTGGGTGTTCACATCAAAAAAACACCGACGAGCATCAGTATCAATTAGCTTCGACCCTTCTACACAGGACAAAGCACAAGGAGAGCCTGATGGTTTCATTCACCTCAACATGGAAAAGATTGGACAAGTACAGTAAATCCTCAACATGGTGATGCCTTGGCCCTGAACATCACGGACCAGTATAGGGTATATAGAGTAGTGCGACAACGCGGAGCAGACCGTCTGAGTTGGTGACCGTGCGATGTGCTGGCAAATCAAAGCGCATCTCCGGAAGATTCGGGCTAAAAACACTGACATGGCTACGCCAATCAGACCTCGAGAGAGAGTGGAAAGCCCCAGCTGGTTTGGGATTCAGGTCCAGGGAGCCCTCAGACCCATGTCTTTGCCGTGCGGCGACCAGCATGATCCGCGGAATCCGCGTCTGGCGCCTCCGATGAGGGGTGACTGGGTGAGGTGTTCACCCGAAAAGCCATGAAAACAAGATGGTGAAGGTTGGGGCCTGGCTGTTTCAACCATGAAAAGCAACTTCAACAGTTGTCCTTCAACTGGCTGATCATCGCAGCTAGCAAAAGGTAGCGAAGGTTAAATACCAGTGAGAACCACATTAGTAGAACAGCACAATATTTCACAAAGTCTGTGACCTCCTCCGAAGGTAAAGTATGCTTAGAAGTGTTATATTTGTATATATTGTATATATGGTCAAGCAGTACTCCTTTGCAGTGCTCGTCAAGCAGCACTCCATTGCAGTACTCCGTTGCCAGTTCAACGTTACGCCCATGGTGGTAGTTGAAAAGTAGAAGCTTCTACAGGCTCCTGTCCACCCCCTGAACATGGAGTTGACACAGAACCGAAAATGTTAACAAAAAAAAAGCCGTACGAGGGAACTTCAAGAAAAGTCCCAAAAGCACCAGGAGCCCAAAAGAACCCACCAGCGGCCTTTGTTGCCTATCGACAGCCTCGCAGGTACTAAAATAATGCAAAAGAAACATGCAATGGCATTCTTGTCCTCCAGCCAGTCTCCAGCAGAACATCCCTGAAACTGATCCACCGCTAAGTTCACATGGCAGCCTCCTCCGACTGCTTCGCCTTCTCAGCCTTGCCTCAGGGCCAAGCATCCCTGTGCCACCGAGGAGAAAGCCAAACCATGAAGTAGGTGGCTTTATCGGCTGGTGACCTACCACATGAACACCAGTTGGAAGTAGTTGGGAAGCACCAAAAAAGGAAATTTGGGGCTGCCGATATATTATAGATGATTTTAGATGTCTGTCCGTCTTGGAATGGCCATTTAACAGTCAATTACACACTTACTTTCGAGTGTTGCGGTAAATATACATTCAGAAGGACTAAAAAGACGTCCAACATTGTGGAGCTTAAAATGCTTAAACAACTGTGTGTCCGCAATCGTTCATACATTTGGTGAGGTTGGTATTCAATCCTCAATCCTTTGATTTTTTTTAGTCACTTTAGTCGTTTGCCCCCAATCAGCCTGAATTATAGTCGCTTGGCGGCTGCTCCGTCCAAAAAACGCTCGACAAAACGTGACGTTTGCCTTCTTTGGCGCTTGGAGATCCACTTATATCCACTTCCTGTGGTCTAGACAGAGTCAATAGAAGAAAAATATACCTCGGCTTCATCATCTGAACTTCTCTCTTTGGGCCATGTGGCTCTTCCTCTTGCCTTTCATCCGACCCTTTCCTTCAGCCTCACCAAGAAACACGCGACCCGTCATGCGACTGCATCATACTGGTTTCACAGCTTTTCAAGGGACATGAATCCCTTGAGCTTTTGAACATGATACACAATCACATACACAGTCTGTAGCTAAGCTGTTGTAGGATGAATCTATATATATATATATATTGAAAGTAAGAGGAACAGGAACAAACATAAGAATAGGATTGCTAATCAGGCATGGTTACATGTTTGCTTGGTTTGCAGATGCTATCTGAAGAACAAAAGTATTTCAAGATCAAGCTGAAGACATCATCACTTCCCAGAAGTCCTCTCAGATTTCCACCTCGGAGCCACTAGAGTAATTACACAAGTCCGTTCAGAACTGCTGCCTCACCACCTTCGCCCACTACATTGGCTTCCTTGGCCAATTGCCTGGCACGCAGTGCACCGCGGCGCGATGAAACACCAGACCGACCCGGTTGGTGCAGATAAAAGGACTGGAGAAGTGTGGGTTGGCTGCGGTCTGGAGGGACTGTGCTTTTGAAGGGATTCCTTCCTGGAACTCGACTGGAGCCCAACGGCCTCCCACCGGTGCCCCAAAAACATAAGGGTGCGGGTGCCCAGTGTTTCGAAGTTTTGAGTAATCAACCCAAAGAGCTTCAACGACCCTCCGTTTCGCTGGTGGTTGGCGTGGGATTCGGGAATTTTTCCTGAGGACGTGGTTAGGGTCAAGTCGCTTTTTCTTTCCACCTTTCCACCAATACGATGCCCACAAACTTTCTCTGCAACAAACATTCTCTGCGGGGCAGCACGTTTTTGAGTAAATCATAGTAAATCAGTAAAGCAACATTTTACCATCACCGCGCAGATTGGGTACACCGCATCGCCTCTTCACTAAACCAGCATAGATGTGGTCATTCCGCAGGAGCTCCTGACTCGCCGTCGGCTCGTTTGGAGTCCTAAGGCTCCAGGGTTCCCACCGTCACAGTGGAAGCTTAAATTGAAATTGAGTGGCACTTTCCGCTCGAAGGTTTCATCGGTTCTTCCAAAAATCCCTCGGCTTGCCCCACACCTCGAGGTTCCAAGGTTTTGTTCTGGTTCTCAAGGAGTCCAGATTGCAGCTCCCATGTTCGGTCTGAATAGTGGGTCCCACAGCTCTGCATGGGCTTCTGAACTTTGCATTGAGAACATCAAGGTCATCAAGTCCTTATAGGGATCCAAGTACCTTGTAGGTTTGGAGGGTCCAATCAAGTGCTTAGTGTTCAGAAGATTTCAGATGTGCTTTTAAAGCCCAGAAAGTTCTCACTTCCTAAGGATCCAAGTAGCTTCTCAGAAGGTACTTGGGGTGAAGTGTCTCACCCCATCTCACAGCCCAGTCTTACTTCGCCCATCGGCACATGCGTGGTCACTCAGCCCCTTTCGATCACTTCCAATGACGACATGGGACCGACGTGACTTTTGGTTTCAAAACATCAATTGAATTGTTGGCATGGCCGGGGAGCTAGGGTAAATGGGCTCTAAGCCTTATGCAGAATGCTAAAAGGGAGCTGGGACTCCTAGAGAAAAACACTCAACACATGCGTGATGCTTGCTGCCGAAAGACTGTGTCCAGACTGGCTTAAGGGAGATAGCGAGACACCACGCTATGGACAGGACGAACCAGAAGGCTGAGATTGGTTCTGGTGCTCTCAAAATCCCCAGCTCATATATAAGCATTCTGAAGTGTTGGGCTACGTCGTGTTCGACGGTTAACAGGGGACCCAGCAAAAGCGAGGTCCGTATGCAGAAACTCCACTGCTACAGGCTCTAGAGAAGGTTACATATGTAAGCAAATTGCAAAAACGATACTGCTGTTACTGCTACTATATAAAAAAGAATCTGATCTCATGCAATACCCCATAATTAGGGCTCCAGCAACATCCTCATTGGAATTCGACACACCCCACCCCCTCATATCAGGCAGTTGACCTCAGGTCGATCCAGGATGTATCCTGCTTTCAAGTCTACAGAGCTCTACAGAGGTCTATGTGTCAGGGCCCGTGTCCGCCGTGGAGCTGTCCGGACGACGACCACAAGGGGGCGTGTGGGACGAGAAAAAACACGCCGCCGTCCCTCCTCGTGAGTTCCTTCCTCGGCCACGAGGCCACTGTCCATGACCACAATCTTATCAGCTCCTGACCACTTACCACGAGTAGTCACAGGAAGTCGTCCAAGATCAGTGGAGACTGTCTGACAGAACGTTCGGAAGTGTGGAGACGACTCGACAATTTGACAAGACAGGTCCCCCTCCGACAGGTTCTTGAGTCGTCGTTTCAGGGGGAAGGTGTTCCTCACATCGGTCCCAGCTTCACAAAGCTGTATATTATAGCCCCAGGTGCTCAGCTTGTCATGCCCTCAGTGGCCTTGCTCACCTGTCTCAATGCGTCCCTCTGCGCTAGAGTCTTCACACGTCGCAGGAAATTCCACTTCCAAACTTCCAAACCCCGTGAACCGGCACTTCCTCCGCCCCTGGCATGCCCCTGCGCTAGAGGAAGGTCGAGACGACCCTGACGCACATGGCCCTTGAAAACCAGTGAACGGTGGTTTGCAAAGGAACAAACCTCTTCCAACAATGTCTTTTCGGGTTCGCTGGCTATGGTCGGGTCATCATACATGGAGAAATTCATAAACCGCCCCTTCCTAGCTGCATAATCGTTCACATCCTTAGGAGTGCAAGGGTGTTGATCATCAAAACAACATGATCAACATGGATCCCTTCACCCTAGAGCTTCACCATGTTGTATGCAGAAACTGGTTGGGTGCTGGTTGGGGTCGTCCGTTCTGTACTTCAGAGACCAGTTCTTCATGCATCCAGCGACCAGTTCCGACGATGCCCTCCTATCACTGTGGACAGGCGATGTGCGATGAGCACCACCGAGCAGTTGCCATGAACCGAGTGCACCAAGTCATCCAAGGCTTTCTGCACTTTCCCCTCGTTCTCCGCATCCTTGGTGGGATCCGCTTGGAGATGCTGGGAATCTCGGACTGAGTGGAACGAAGTAGTGAATCTGGATCCAAAGCACCAGTCAATTATAACCCCTCGAATTCCTGGCGTATGTAGGGGTGGTTGATTTTTTAAGGAAAATGTGCCACAGAATCAACCACCCCAGGTTCGCCAATCTGAAAAGCTTTACAAAATCAAACCCCCCAGGACGCAGGCAAGGGACAACTCTCCAGCCGATATTACAAAATCAACTGCCCCAGTCTCAAGATACAGTCTTTACAAAATCATAGGCACTCTGTTGACATGGCTCGGTACAATTACAAAATCAACCCCCCTGAGGCCTCAAACAAGATACAAAATCTCAATCATTAAACCTGGATTGGACAAAATAACGATTTTGTAGTGATGCGGCGCGACCTCATCGATAAAACGATACGATACGATACGATTCGTCTCACAGCCCTCACGGTTCGTCATCACGTTTCCTTTCTTATCTTTTTTTTCATGTTCTTGCAGTGTCCCGCAGATCACTTGCACGAACCTACCCTACCTCGCATGCCAGCAACTGCAAGAGATGTGTGCGGGTTCCAGGGTTGCGTTGGGAGTTGTTTGCACAGACCTTTGGTCGCCAGATGCTTTCTAATTTCCTTCAAAACGGCCCCCCGATCCAGGGGCCGTTTTGTGGTGCAGAATCCTGGGAAAACAATAGGTTCTAGATACGACTTTTGAGGGATGGCGACGTCGCAATGAGGTGTCAGAGGAGGACGGGATCGCGACAAATGATCTTTCATATATGGCCACGGGCTTTGAGGTTCATCTATTTTGTTTACAAAATCAGAGGCACCAAGAGAGCGCCCAGGGGCACTTATACAGAATCATGCTTCCCAGTCTCGGTGTCCTTATCGCACGTGGGGATAAAGCAAAATATAGCTATGCTGTGTGGTACGAACTATGATATGTACAAACTTGTAAAGAAAGGTCTGCCTTTTAAAGAGTTTGCGGTGATTTGTTTTGATGGGAGGTGCAGGAACCCCAGCGTCCAAGAAGGCGCAGAAGGCGAAGAGTCTTCAAGCAGCAGGCAAGTGAAGCGCGGATGTATTTGTTTTCTTGTGAGTACACGTTGTTTCTGCTCTTTTGTTCCAAAGCACCTCGGACTCCCCAAATCAACTTGGAGGAACTCCAGAAAAGGTGACAAGAAAAGTCAATACATGCTGGTCAGCATTGGATGCAGCCCTGGTACGCTTCGACTTCCTAATGCACTACTCAGACCAACCTGCACGCCCAACTGCTGAGACCACACCTCCCTCTACACCAATACGAAAAGGAGGTGGGCTCTACGTGCAACGTGTGTTCTTTTCTTGTTCATGAACAGGTGGATTGAATGTGTAAAACCGTGTAAACCATGTAAAACACATTTGCACGGATCCACCAAACATCACCAAGCCCTTGCATGATTATTTACCAAGAAGGCATCAACGACCCAGAAAGGGAACAAGTTTAACATCATTTGAGCACCTTTGAGCATGAGCCAGTGCCTCCCAATTCACTGGTTCAAACATCAACTCAGCAGCGAGACTCAACGAGGCTCTTGGGATGCCTGGTGTGCGTGTGTGTGTGTGTGTTCTAATATATCCTATGAAATCCTATGATATATCATGAAAATTTTTGCGAATTATTAAGAATTTATAAGACATTATAAGACCATGTTCTACAGCAGCTCAACCCACTACAAAATCAACTGTCCATGCTTTACAGCAGGTCAATCGATTACAGAATCGACTGTCCATGACAACCACCCCACCCTCAAACTTGCATAGAATCAAGGACCCCACCCTCACCAGTGCGGCACTTTTGACATCCATACCAACATATCGATTCCTTACAAAATCAACAGCCCCAAGAAAGAATGCTGCCCTTACAAAATCAACCTCCGCACCCCCACAAAAACGGGTACCTGGAAGCAAACTTGTTTCTTTACAATATCGAAGCTCTTTTTGTTACCCAGGGAGGTTGATTTTTTAAAGGAAATTTCAACGGGTATAGTCAATTGGTGGAGTGCAAAGTGCAAGCGTTCCAGTGTTCCACCAAAGCGCATGGAGTGCTGCTGATCTCTTGTTTGTTGCTGTGAAGTGGGTGATAAAGGCCTCTTGACGTGCTTGAGGTCGTTGTTCCTACTCCAGCTGAGTCGAGTCTTCTAAACGAATGTCAATCAAATTTGTGAAAACCTAAGCAAGATCAGCCGTGCCTCGAAGGGATCCTCAAAATTGACTTCTTTATCTATCCAACAATTGACAAAGCCACCTTGCACAATGACACCCAAACAGATAGAGAAGGCAAGAAAGGAAAAATCTATTCAAACAAATCTGTGGATTCCGTTTCGGACGCCCATCCAGAAATTCCTGCAACCCCGCCGAGTTGCCAGCGCCGAAGTGGCCTCGGGCGAGGCTGAGACGATGTGAGGCCAAAGAACTTCCCCTCCAATGACAAGACTAAGAGCACATAAGCAATGGCCTCCATCCCAATAGCAAAAGGAACCTAATAGCTATGGCCCGGCCTCAAATCTACTATAGAGAAATATAGAAGTGCAACGAATGTGCAACGAATGTGCAACGAAGGCGGATCTTCCATCTGACATGGAGACCCAGTTCACTAAAACCAATTGTTCTGGCCCGAACAGTCTGAACTGCACTGGTTTCAATCATTCTTCGCATGATCTGTTTTCTTCAATAGTCAATTGGCTGTGGGTCATGCCCCACCCAACAATGAATACCAATGGGCCATTGAGTCTATCTCTCTTCTTCTTCTTCTTCTTCCAAAGGGTCGCATACGGTGGAAGTGGTCGGTTTTGCTGGTGAACATGCATGCCCTGTTCAATGCTCGTTTGGTCGACAGGCGTCTTCGCCTCGTCCAGTAGCAGCAGCTTGGGACGCCGGAGCAAGGCCCGGGCGATCGCCACGCGCTGCCGTTGCCCGCCGCTCAGGCGGGTGCCACCCTCGCCTGGGCGGGGCGTTGAGCGAGGGGTGGAGCTGGAGTTCTCGGAGTCTGTATACGTTTGGGGCATTTGTATGGGATTCAGGATTTTTGAGATCACTGGCAAGCGATTTGGTGGGCTGGACCGTGGCCTACACACTGGGCACACTGGCGCTTGCCGCGCCACGGAGGCATCAAAAGGACATCAATTGGTATTAGTGGGGGTGGTATTAGCGGGTCGAATCTCGCAGGTGTCTCAAACAAAATATACTTGTTCTTCATGTGTCGTCTATACTCTTTCTGACATCTTTCGACTCCAACAGCGCCCAATTGACATCAATTGACCAACAGGCCCGCTCGGGATCCCCCGCGCGAGCGAACACGCGGCGGCAAACCGACCGATCGCTCGATCGCTCTTCTGATCGCGGCTCGCACATCGCAGGTCTCGCGATCGCTCGGTCCACCACACCACTCCAGGGTACCGATCATGGAGTTGTACTTCTCATCCAATTGTTGAATGAAATCGTTGGCAGATGCCGCTTCTGCCGCTTTCTCAATCTCTTCCATGGAGGGCACATCGCCTGCCGTGGAAGGTGGTTTGAAAGTGGAGTCGAAGGTCAATGATTCCTTGATGAGAGGAGATGTGCCACTTGCATTTGATGGGCTTGAGCCTAGGAGTCAAGTCCGCAACCCATGCTCTGGCATTGTTGGATTCAATTGCAGAATCAATCAACCAGCAAATACATCATCCTGGTGTGTGTGTGTGTCAACCCCTGTTCCTAAGGGTTTTGGTTTCTTGCATACG